ACATGTGAAATTGTTGTATAAATATTATGCCAACTTATAATTAAAATATAAGTACATTTATAGTTTTTTTTTTCTTAGATAAAATAATGATAAAACATATTCTGTGTGTTAAAACACGTGACAACACTGCAAATAATTTCTGTTATACATACATTTGTTTTTTTTCTTTTTAAATACCAAGTACGTATATAAGTAGGTATAAGACCTTATATAGGAAACTTGAGTAAGTATAATAATTTAAAGATCACGTTATGTAAACATTACTTTTTTTTTTATATATTTAAATTAAAAATTTATGGCAAAGTATAAAGAGAAAATATAACAAAATGAATTCAGGAGGAGAATGACTTTTAAGAAGAGCTTTTGAATATTTGATTTTACATTATTAATTAGTTTTATTAATTATTTATATATACTCTAAATTATCATTTAAATTTGGGAATGCTATATAATTGTTATACATTTTGTAAAATGCATTAATGAAATTTTTGACCCTAAAATGTAAAATATTTATACAAATTTGTATAACAAATATACAAAATATGTTTATTATTAAAATATAATTTAAATTAATTATTCTAAACAAAAATTAAACTGTTATATTTTATTTTAAAAATTTGAAATACGCAGAAAGTGTCCTTATTATAAAAGTATGGTTAAAATCAAAAATTCAATTTAGCATACCTATATTCCGCATTCAGCGTATCAAATATTGAGCTGAATTCTGTAAAATAATCTCAATTTTGGATATTTAATTTCACCTATTATTACTCGTATGACGTTTATATTTTATGTAATTTGCTCTTGTTTTATAATTACTGGAGATAATTGTCAATTTTACGGTGCTTAAAAAAATTCAGCTAATAAAATGTAATTGCTGAATTTAATATTAATATAATTCCGTGATTTCAACATTGCAATAAAACTGTTATACTATTGACAGTTTGGGAATAACGCGTGGTGTAAACTCAATTGTTTTGTTTATAATATACCATTTTGCATGGCATTTTCATTTCTCATATAAGAAACTCTCTCTTTCAGTCTAAAAATGTTTGGATAATCTTTCTCTGCTATTTATATTATTATTACAGACAGCAAAATATAGATTATTGAAAATAGTCATAAAATATTTAATTATCTTTGTAAATAAAAATTTCATATATTTAAATTTTATGAAGTGTAAAAAAAAATATAACAGAATTTTTCAATGCTAATTTTAAGTAAAGTGTAAAATTAATAAAATTAAAAAAAAAAAAAATTAAAAATAAACATTGAAAAGCAGACAAGCAGATGTCGAAATTTAATATTTTAATTTTTTCCGGACGTTTTATACTTTTATATTAATGTGCATGTATGGCGTTTTTAAGTATAAATGGGTACTATACACAATAGCATATATAAGGTTATGATCGTGGCGATGAGATCATTATGAAGGGCTTACTTATTATGTATTTAAGTTAAGTACGGAAAATATTAAATGAAAAGAATTCAAAGTTAAAAATGAAGATTTCTTCTTATTAACAATACTAGTGCTATAACTTTAGCAGATAGTTAAGAATTTTCTATATATAAAGTACATATGTGCCTAATATAAGGAAATTTTACTATGCTAATCAAAATATGTTCTATTGCCTCTATAAATTACCCTTATATTATCTTCCCCTTAACATTTCTTTTTTTTTTTTTAACTTTTACTTTCATTTTTCATAAACTTTGGGTACATGTGTACTTTTATAATCTATTATATTTATAATCTATGATATTATTTTTCCCATATATGCATACATATACATACATATATAGCATTTAATTGTATTTGTTAAATTACTGTAAATAATATAGGTAGTTTTTCTTATCACTGTCATAAACATTAATAATATATACTTATAAGTATATGCGAATGTAATACTTTTATATTAAAATATTCACATAAATGTACATATGTATGTAGTATGTACATATATAAAAAAACCATAGAAAACAATAGAGAACAAATAAAAATTATAAAAATAACCGGTTTGATTAGAATTAAATTAAATATCACATCTATAACCTTATCTAAATAATATCAGTTATAAAAATGTAAACTATACATGGTATAGAACATTAAATAAGAAGATCGTAAAATTCAAGGCAAAAAATATCACGTGATATTGAATGAGAAGCGATTACGACTTAAATTTTAATACCCGAACTTAAAAATTATAATAATTGGAGTTAAATATTTTGGGTATATTTAAATCGTGTTCGTATAAATAATTTTCTAAAATAAATACATAGTTATAATATAAGCCGTAATAAATTTTTTTTACTACATTTTGAATAGTCTTATGGCGAGAGATAATTAAGATTTCGGCGGCATGTACAATTTGAAAGGATTCCCCAAATTAAGAAGTTATATAATATTATGGTAATAATCATGACAATAATTATGGTAATGGTTATGGTAACAATTACGAGTAAGAAATTGGAAGAAAACTCTAGCGGCAATCCATTATATTATTAAATATTGTGTTAATATAAAAAAAAATAATTAATTATAGAATTACTTCATAATGATTCTATATAATGCATATAATCATTATTAGTTAATAATAAATAAAAACTGTTAATGTTATACCCCATTGAGATTAACTTTTTCCATAGTTTATTTACTTTAATAATAGCATACTCTCAATTATTTCAATTAAATTTTATCATATCATTAAAATAATATAAGTAAGGTAAGTGACTGCTCTAAAAAACAAATTCAGTGTTAAATTCAGTGTTTATTGTGAATGAATTATTTTTGCAAAAACCAGATAGAATAAATGCTAAATAATTAAATTTTTTACATATAAAAATGTCAGTAACCCAATTAATTTTTTAAAAGCAGAAATCAGCAGAAAAAAAAAATCACACGATTTTTTAATATAATATTTTCAGTGCATATACCGAATGCCATTTTTTTTGCAGACCTTTTAAAAATGTATTGTTGAAAAATTTGCTCGAATTGAAAATTAGGAATTTAGAAAATTGCAATCTTTAATTTTCGAATTAATCGTAAGAAATATTTAAAAATGAAATCGATTTAATGGAAACAAGCTTCATTTTATGACTATATAAGCGCTAATTTTTATTGTTGCGAATCTTATCGCTACTTTAATCACCATTTATAATCTTTTTGTTATTAGGTGACCGCTAGTATTAATCGCACACTTATGTATACATATGAATTAGGAGTCGTATATGAATTTATTACTAAGAAAATATTTGAAAAAATATCATCACATCACATTAATTCAAATGAATGAGAAATTACAGAAAAGCAAGTACTGCGCGTCTGATTAGAACGCAAACTATAGAAGCAAAGAAAACAAATAACAATGAATTCAATTGTAAATTTTACAATTTTTGTATTTGTAATCTAAAATTTTTGTATTTTGTAAAATTTTTGCGTTGCAAATTTCAATTTATGGTGTGTGCACATAACCTTTTATTTTTTTTGCAACCTTAAAAAGTAATGTATGTAAACAGAATTTTTAATAAGAGTTAAAAAATGAATTTATTTTTTTTTCAGATAAACAAACACTCGTACTAATGTAAACATTTGGAATTTACAAAAGTAAAAAATATGACACGTTTTCTATAACAAAGGAGCACATTGCTATTGAATAGTAATTGGCCGAAAAAAATCATAAAATCAAACATGCATAAATATTGTAATTGTTGTAAAAAATAATATGAGCTACTTTTGGTAATTCAACAGAAAATAGCCCAATTTTGTCATCACCGAAAATTTAAAAGTAAAAATCGAAAAAAATTTTTTTTTGACATTTCCAATATAATGTAAAATAATGCAAATATTTAATGTCATAATAATTGAAATATTCACAAAATTTTGTAATAGGGGATGTAACCTAATTTTTATCTTGAATTCAGAACTTTTCTTTGATTTTACATTGTGTAAATACTAAATTGTATACAAAGTGCGTACCGTCGAAAGGAAGAGTTTGTTTTTGAGTGGTGGTTCTTTCATAGTTTTTTATTAAAATTCTTTTATTTCTTTTTAAGGTGAATATTTTTATACCATACATACAATATGATTTGACATAATTGGATGAATAAATGATTTATTTTTGAGTTAAGAAGAAGAATAATACAGGGCAAAAAAAAATATAATATAGAATATAGGGCAGTAAATGATATTTAATGAAGAGTATAAGGTTCTATTTTAAAATTTCATTAAATATTCATTTTTTGAATGCTCCAAATTCAATATTTTTATGAATGAAAAATTAATTTTGTAAATGTATAATAATAACTAATGTAATGTCATTGTTATTAAAATTTTATTATGTTTAAAAAATAATTAAGATTTTCAGAATTTATTATAAAAAATGGCCTACATTTAACTTAATTGAAATTGTAATTTCTTTAAAGTATATTAAGTGGCTAGTTATTAAAATTAATAACAAGACTTTCTGATACATAATTCAGCAATAATAAGTCATTAGCTGAATTCATTTGCAATAACAAATCGTAGATTATGCTATAATTTTAAAGTCAGAGACTTTAGCATATGCGCAATATATAAAATTACAATACAATCAAAATTACTTAAGTATACAAATAATTTTGTTATTTGAAAATTTGCAATTGTAAATTTATTGTACCAATTTTTTACTTTTGAAATTTATAATGTACCCCCCCTTACTCATAAAGTATTTAAAAACTACTCTAATAATTAAAATATTTGAATTGAACAGGTGGCAATAATCTAATTGTAATCATAGAAATTGTAATCTAAATTTAATCAGTAATTATTAATGTCATAATCATAAATGAATAGCATTACAAATAAATTATTATTAAGAAAAAATAAATACATATAATAATTTCGAATTCTGTTATATATATGTATGTATGGGAGTATGTATATGTTTGTATAAATTTTTAATATTAAAATTAAATGTATGTAAAATAATAATAATTAATAAAAAAAAAAAAAAAATACTTACAATTGCAAAAAATTTTAATAATGACATTTTATTATGTAATTGTTGTGGCATAAATTCTCTATTATATTCAGCAATATTATTATTACTAATAACATTATTTTCATTATTTGAATTATTATAGTTCTGAAATGATAAAAAAAAATGGAATAAAAATTTTTGAATATAAATTCTTGTTTTTTTTTTTTTGTAAAATTAAAATATTGTAATTGAAAATTTTGAAAGCATTCATTTTTTGCTTTAAATGAATATTAAATTTCTATTTTAATCAAAAAATATTATTTCTTGATAATTATTTTAGTTGTAATAAGGCGTCTACCAAAATGTAGATCTAACGTCAAATTGACTTATTAAGCAATACTCTCTTTGACGTTATTGTAATTCAAATTTGACATTAGGGCTGTATTTAAGAAGGTACCCATATTTTTATTTATTTCTTGTTTAATTTACTTGTTATATTTTATTAGAAATTTAATATAATATTTAATAATTTAATATTTTATTAGAATTTAATAGAAGACAGCTTATCTCCGCATCATTATTAATTTAATTATAAATCTCTTTTAATATAATCAGAAATTGTAAACATAACTTTAAATATTTAACAGCACTAATTTTATAAAACACTTAATATCTTTAACAATTATTGCTTTTATAATATAATTTTAAATTTTATTCACATATAGGTATTTATTTTTTTTGTATTTTAATAATTGTAATAAATCAAAATTTTCTTTTTCATATTTTTGATATTAATTTACTCAACTCATTTTATTATTATTTTCAAAATTTAAAATCATAATTAATTATGAAAACAACCGTAAACCTTACTGCCCTATACACTATACTATATAAATAACTATATTAATAAATTTACGTAGATATACTAAAAGAAATTTACTCATAATTTAAATACTAATAATAATCTGAAATAGATATCTAATTAAGGAAATTGATTTTCTTATAAATATAAAATTAAACATTATGGTTTTAAAATTTCTGTAATAAAGTTCATTGTAAAAAAAAAAAAAGTCGGAATGATTAATTCAATTATCTATATCTATATTTAAATAATATTATATGGATTTTATAATAAAATTCTATTTAAAGCTATGTGTTATATATGTATATAGAAATTTTTTTGGATTTGATATTGAATTATTATGGTACTTATTACATGATTCATAATTAACACTCATTGTATTTTCATTAGAAATTTTTATGTACATACATCTATATGTATAAGTATATGTATTTGTATTAAATATATTTAATTACTATACTTGAACTTATATTTTTATTACTCATAGCGAATACTGAATATTTTTCAGCTTTTTATTCAGCTTTTGTATTAAATATCGGCTGATGTCAAATTGTCATGTTTTATTAAATGGTTATTTTGACAGAAACGTGGTTTAAAATTTTTATATTAATGAAATAAAATTAATTTGTGTGCGAGAATTTGAAATTTTAATTTGAAGTAAAATTTATAACACTTTTAACAATCATAAATTTTTAAGGTTATAATCCAATTATCAACTAGTTGTTACGAGTAATAAAATTCCTCAATTTATTATAATTCAAATTTAATTTTAGAGTTAAAGAATATTGCTAAATTAATCAAGCTAAATAATATTTCATATAAAATTAAAAAATTTTTTAAAATTTTTCGCATATTACCTGTTTAGATAGATTAAAAATTTGGATTATAAATTAAATTTTCCTCTATATATTAAAATTTGTTTATTATTATTTCATTTTCTACGATTTTTATTTGAAAAATTAATTAATTTAACCCGAAAGCATGTAGTAAGAAAATTAGAACAGGATAATTATATTTTTCTTTTTATATGCCGGAAAGAAATTCAAATACGTGAGTAAAAGTTGTTTGTAAATAATTTCATTTTTCGAATCAGCACAGACACACTTTTAAAGAGAATTTACAACATAAATTAAAAATAAAAAAAACTCGGAGAAGGGAAAAAAATATTTACAAAATTATTGAATGTTAATGAATTGTAGTCAGTCAATTGCGATTTCTTTCATTCGATTATACCTAAATTTAGATTATTAAAGAGAGATGTCTGTAATAAATATTTTTTTTTGAAAATTTTTTTGTTTATACGCATAAAATCGCTTAAAAATGATCAAAATATAATCAAAAGAAAAAAGAATTTCAAATAAAAAAAATATACAATTTAAATTATACGATTAACTTCATTTCAACATAATGCATAAGTATTGTATACCCAAAATTTTCATATACCATACATTCATAGTACCCACATGATCTTGTTCTTGTTCTTCAAAGTGTTCAAGCATTTTCATTGAATTTGTTTTTGAAGAGTTTGTACTTTCTGTTAATGATGCGTAAAAATATTATACTTAAAGTTAATTCTGAAAATATTATTTTAGCTCAACAAAGGTATAAGTTAGAGAAGAATTTGGTTTAAACAGTTCGTATAAAATAAAAGACAAAGATACGTACATTAAGTATAAGTAAATAAGATGTATAAACAAAATATTTAACATTTACAAAATTATACAATCATTTTGTGAGTCATAATAGTGATGAACAGAAAAAATTGAATTTTTAAGGATATTTTAATAAAGATTCGATTTAATACTCTTCTTACACGAATTGGAATTTTTATTTATCTGGGAAAAGTTTAGGAAAGAAACTGAGAAAAGGAGGTCGGAACTGTGAGGAAACCGACCGAAATTTTGATTTAAGACTTTTCCGCTCAAGCGGAAATAATTTATGAAAATCATATTTGTTATATTATATAGTTTTAAAAATTTATAACGAAATTTATTATAATTGTAGTTAATTTGTCAAATAATTGTTTAAATGCATACTTTAGGAATGAAAAATTCATTTGTACATTTTAACTATAATAAATTAATTAATTAACTCTAGACTAGAAAAATAGAATTGCATGGTAAATTTATTTAAATTTTTTTGTTTAAGAATTTTTTTTATGTTGTATTAAGAATTTTTTTATTACATATTACATATTTACATATGTATATCAGAATTAATCGTTTTATTAGCTATAAGTCAGGTTATTAGTTGTGTTTCGAGTATATGACTATTGCATATTTTACGGTTCTAATAGTAAAAATTTTGCTATAGTTAACCATATATTTAGTCTATCTTACAAAAACTCATACGTATTACAACACTTACAAATATTTTTGAAAGTATAACACTTTAAAATTTTGAATTCATAAAAACGGTAAAAAAAAAACTACACAAATTTTCTTTGATTAAATTTTTGTTTCTTATTCTTTTCTTTTTTTTTCAATTTTTCCTTTTTTGTTTTTTTTTTTTTTTGTTTTTTTGCAAAAGGTTTCATTCATTGACGTCAAAGAACTCGTTTAGAAAATAATTAAATTTTAAAATTATAAACTTAAGACAAGCAAAAAAAAAAAATCAATATTATGAATAAAATTTTTTTGAAATATGTTAATGATCAGCGAGTATTACGATTATATTATAAAAGATAAATCGTTTGTATATTTTAGTATGATTTTCATAAGAACGTAAGTTAAAATCAGAGTACGAGATATCAGTTATTTTACCATTTATAATTTATTTTATATAAATATACGTAATAAATAAATTTAAATTCGTAATATAATTTTTAAGAACAAAATTTGATATTGGACGTATGTACATACAATACCCAAAAATTAGAATATTAAAAATAGAATTTTATGAGTTCTAATGAAATTAAAAACAAAAAAAAATTAATTTTAAATTGCGTACAAAGAAATATATGTTTATATACGTGCTAATATTTTTGTTTTTCATAAAAAATTTCATTCTAAACGAGAATTCTTTATAACACTGCCATTAAAATATTGATATTTTAAAAATTGTAATTTATACAAGAATATGAATGTTATAATATATACGCATTTTATGAACTTTTAATGTTAAATATAACTGATAACAGAAAATCTTATTTACAAAAATGTCTATGTACGTACATAAACAGAATAATTGCGTTATACGTAGGCAAATATATGTACATGAAAATATTAAGATAGTAAGATAATAACCTTCAACAAACTGTATAACAAATTCAAGTATAACACAATTATATGCACATCTATATACGTATTTGTACATGTATGAGTCGGTAAGGTGAGTTAAAGTTGAATTTTTACCTGAAATATTTAACTTACATTTTTGTTTTTCAAATTATCTTATTTGAAAATGAAATAAAAATTGAATAAAAAAAAAAATAAAAAATTAAATATTGACGAGACAAGTTTATTCAAATTAAGAAATATTTAAATTTTTTTTTTTTAAATTTTTTAAAGGTATGTAAACTAAATATTTTGTTTGTGGAATTTTCCATTCATTAAACAAAATTTTTTTACAATATTTCAAATGGCATACATTTAATATATACGAGTACATATATACGAATGCTTAACGTATATGAAATATTTTATGTACATGAATGTAAAATACTTGAATATGAATTAGAAAAGCCTAAATATTTTTCTTTTATACTGTGCTATTTTGAAAATTGAATAACACGTGTATATACATAAAGTTTCTCTTCAATAGTTCAATAGCACAATACAGTATGTACTTAGTTTTATATATTATATTTGCAGATCAATAAGTTATAAAATTTTAAGAAATTCAAAAAAACAAAAAACATTAAATAAAATTAACTGAATGAAACTAATTAAGGATAAAAATGTTTTTGTTTGTATAACATTTATTTATTTACTATTTACTTAAGAAGATTCAGCGATTTATATACGTAAATTTTAAAAAATACTAAAAACATTTATAGCTGTTGCAATATAAATTATTTAAAGAACAAAGCAAAATTATTTGTTATAATATGTCGAATTTATTTATAAACAACATTTTTTCATAGATGGTGTAATTAAGACTGTTATATATATACATTTAGATTATTATCAGATATTTGACAATTGACTTCCCAAATAAAAGTTCAAAAAAATTAGATATATATTAGGATAAATTTGCTTTTTTACTAATTATTAATCAATATTTTAGTAGAATAAGTCTTTTACTATAGGTCTTTTAACAACACTATAGGTCTTTTAAAAGGCCGATGATTGCTTCAAATTTA